TTTAAGACTTATAAATTTTTAGTAACTTGACAATGCTTTCCAAGTTATTTTCGTTTGTAACTGTAGTAACTGTAGTATATGTATGTCGTCTGTATAATCTGTACTTTTTTTACAACACATCATTGGGACTATTTCTAGTCTGTTGATGCAACCATAACAAATAAACAAATAAACAAATAGCATAACTTATCCATTTCTTGATGAGTTTCAAAAATTGTGGTACTTCTAGAATTCCTAGGGTCTGTAGATTATTTGATATAGGATCGTCTACTTTATTCAAAAGCGAAAAGTAAATTAGAATAATGGGCAAGAATGTTCATTTGTAAAAATGGTCAAGATATGTCATTGCAAACTTGCTGCTACCCTTTTTCTGAGGCTTCGTAGTCGGCGTAAAGTATTTTACCCACCGTATTCAGAGTGTTAACACATTTAATGAGTACCAGTCTTCCTAGAAAATTCTTAATTTGTAGTCAATATCGAGTTTATTAATGTCATTATTGGTTATTTTGCGGTTACCGTGTATTCTTTGCTTGTCAAAAAATGTTATACACCCCTACACGGAACCGAAAAATTACCCAAAATTAAGTTCTTTCCACTCATCTCCCATGTTCTGTTCAATAAGCTAATTTTCAGTAAACCGCTTATAGTAGTTTGTATTTGACTACGGCAAAAATAATTACTTACTCGTGAGTATTTTCTACCTTAAATTAAGTTCAATTTACTCAAATTTGAAAATATCTCATATCAGTGCTAACATTTGAAAACGGCACAAAAGCCATTTGTAAACAAATGGTTTGTGGGCCGTTTACTCGCTACCCGAAGAACGCCCACGCAAACCAACAGCATCGTCAGGAAGGGGAAAATTTCCCCTACCCGATGTTGCTGTTGTATCGCGTGGGTGTACTTCAAGTAGTGAGTAAAGGGCCCACAAACCATTTGTTTACAAATGGCTTTTGTGCCGTTTTCAAATGTTAGCACTGATATACTCACTAGAGTCGGTGTATAATGAGTCACCCCAAGAGAAAAACAGTTGAACTCGCATCACGGTTTTCGAAAAATTCCCTTTCTTTTCACTTGGCAACAGAGGACTTCTACATCAACTTCAAATGACTTCTAGCGAGAAAAAAATAGCGGCTGTAGTAAATCATTATATCAGTGATTTTGTCAAATTATCTTATCAAAAAATAGTAGAAATTCTCATTACTGATCATTACCAAACGTATCCCATGACAATTTAATGCTCACTGCGTGATTATGATCATTTCTTCGATCATATTTTATATTTTATTGCATTACCTTTCGTTGACCTCTCATAGCATCGTAATGTTTGTTTACTTTGCACGATAGGTAGCCGGTTTGACAGTTCAATAGGTAGACTTGGCTTCACTCTTGGCGTGACTCATTATACACCGACTCTAATACTCACTAGTAGCTTATTGAACGATAGTCATGAGAAAGTCGAATCTCTCGTTCCGTTTTTGACAACAACAAAAAGTGAGAGTGGGATGCAAAACTCAAAATTACCCAAAATTAAGTAAAAAGAACTTAAATTAAGGGTATATTTTTTTCTCTGTGTATAGTCGCTATATTTATAGTCTGGCGGATAGAATTTCGATCTATCAAAAAGCGGAACCAATTCAATATATTTTGGTCCAACAATTGAAAAGGTACTATCAACATTTATAAACGTAACGTTGATTATTCTTTCCTCGTGAATCGAACGCAAATAACCAGCAAAATCGGATAGGGTTGATTTCCCCAACCCAAAGATGGTGTTAGTATGCGTAGGCGAACCTTGAGTCACGAGAAAAGGGTTTCCAAAGTTTTGATCGCAATAGCTGATGTGCTCTTTTCTGTTGTTGGTCGTGATTTGCTCGATTGGTTCCGCTATTTGACAGCTCAATTGGTTCCCGAGATTCTAGCCGCCAGACTATGAATATAGCGACTATAATACATCCCCTCCCCCTTTGGAGTGTGACATCATATGTGCATCACCCCTAGGCAATCGATCGTTTCGAGGAAAAAATTGCTTCTGCCAGCTTCTACCTACTTTCGAGAAGCCGTGTGTGATCTCTCGATGCGAATAGTGGAGTTGAAGAGGTTCCAGCATGGAGCTGAATAATGTTAAATAATAATCACAGTTTTTCTTAGATCTGATAAATCTTTATTAAACTAAAAAAAAAATAATTACTTGAATTTGTTGCGTCACATAACTTAAGCTATCCAGCTTTAAACGCTCGGTAATGGCGGCTTATTTGTAAGAATAATTGTATCCTTCGCTGTGCTTTTTGACACTAACTGGAGGGCGTATGTTGTTCCATTTTCTTCTGTTCCTGGAAGAGGGAAAGGGAGCGGTCAAAATCCGAATCTCCAGATAGTGTCAAAACATAGTGAAGGATACATTTATGCATTCAAAAAGGCCGCCATTACCAAGCATGGAAAGCTGGATTAAAGGCTGTAAGGATTGATTTTCGTTGTAACTCAGAAAGTAATCGAAACTCCTCTTATTATTCCTAACTCTGCAATAAAATTCCAGCATTTTTGTTTAAATCTTTAGAAAAATGTTTTGAAATGATGATTTTTTTTTTATTTAGCTGACAATCAAATTTATATCAAACTGTCATTCAAATGTGTGTGTTTTTACCCTTCTTTCATCTTCTTCACATTTCAAGCTTATTGCATATCGCATATTAGCCCGAATAGAAATTGTAATGTAGGAAACATCAGCATACATCTTCAATACATTAAATTTTAACGTGTATTGCTGTACCCTTAATGTATTCAGACTTCAGTGTGACGTCCAAGTACATAAAAATACATTAGCCTCAAACGTTACATCAGACTCAAACGTCTGACGATGTAATATTTGACATCAGAATACATCCAATGACAACAGAACCTAACGTTACATTAGAATCAAACTTCATCACGATGTAATTTGTTGTACGCATAAAACATCAGAATACATCCAATGACAACAGAACCTAACGTTACATTTGACATCAGGCATACATTTGATTTCGATGCTGATGTAGACATCAAAATCAAACGTTGGGCTAATATAAATTTCTATTCGGGAGCTTATTGCGTGCTCTCAACTTAGTGTTCAAGATGCACTTCCACAATTATTAATTGAGAGCTTTCGATGCCTGTACCATTTTTTCATTGGTATAATTGTATGGCAAGTCCAATCATACTTCTATGCCCAGGGAAGTCGAGAAATTTTCCAACCCGGAAAATGCCTAGACCGGACCGGAAATTGAACCCAGCCAACTCCAGCATGGTCTTGCTTTGTAGCTGCGCCTTTACCGACTGAGCTAAGGGAGGCCCCTTTCAAAGAAGGGTATAAACCAGGGGACTGGCAACCCCATATCAATCCTATACGTTTGACAGTAGGCAAGATCACGGGCCTTATTTAAATACGGCCCCCCTGACGTATACATGAAGGAAAAGGACGCAAAATCGTGTTGTAAGCAGAAAGACAAGAGCAGATGAAAGCATCAAAAACATGGCCGCCAGCCAGGCCCCTGGTATAAACATAGAGGTAACTCTAAGACTAGTACGTTCCGAAGAAAAGTGCTCAACTTTTTGGCTCAGCTCTGGTACTATCTTCGGTCCCAAGCTAATCGATGCACCCCTCGAAACATAGGAAAATCCACGAACCCCTCATTATATATGTCAACCTTTCATGGCAAATCAAAACAAACATTTTGTAGTACTAGAATTTCGACTAGAATGGGGCACGTTAATTGATTTGCTTGGGACCAATAGGCTAGTTAAGTAGTGAGCCAATTTAAAATCGACAGTTTCCAGGTCAGTGACAAGGCCTATACCATCAGCAGCGTTTGACAGTAGGCAGCATGTCCCGGGCTCAAAACGTTTATTTTGCTGTTCTGGGCCCGCTGTCGCGCTGTCACGGTATAACCAACAATCAATACGAAACTAACGATTTTAAATTGGCTCACCACTTTAGTAGCCTATTGGTCCCAAGCAAACGAGTAACGTACCCTATTCTAGTTAAAATTCTATTACTACACTATGTTTGTTTTGATTCGCTATGAAAGTTTGACAGATAACATCAGGGGTGTGTGGATTCATGCAGAACATGCAGGGGTGAGTGAAATAGCTTGGGACTGCTTGGGACCGTTGTTCTGGTACTGAGTGAGCCAAAAATAATAATGATTTTCTTCGGGACCCAGTGGTCTTAGAGTTACCTCTATGGTATAACCATAGACGTAAATCTAAGACCAGCAGGTCCCGAAGAAACGTGCTCAACTTTTTGGCTCAGCTCTGGTACTATCTTCGGTCCCAAGCTAATCGATGCACCCCTCGAAACATAGGAAAATCCACGAACCCCTCATTTTATATGTCAAACTTTCATAGCAAATCAAAACAAACATTTTGTAGTACTAGAATTTCGACTAGAATTGGGCACGTTAATTGATTTGCTTGGGACCAATAGGCTAGTCAAGTAGTGAGCCAATTTAAAATCGTTAGTTTCGTATTGATTGTTGGTAAGACATACTTTGGCGAAACATGTATGTAAGCAAACTTTGGTGGCGTCATGGAGGCTCGAGCACTCCTGGCTCAGAGATTTTGGTGGGAATCAACTGAGAAAGAGCAAAACAGTTTTAAAGTTAAGAAAATTTTCAAACAGTTTTCCATTGGCTTAAAGAATCCAATTCGTTTCTGCACGATAACGTACAGGAAAAGCTAAAATGGTAAGAGTTCTCAAATCCACAGAAGATTTAAGCAGTTCTCACATTTCGTCGAGAGAGTCGAAATATTTTAAAAGAATATTAAACGCAATATTTTATAAAAGAACAGAGCTTACACACATTTATTTTTATTTCCGAAAAATCTAACGCGACCTACACCGCACGTTTCCACACATCCAAACACCATGGTCTCGGCTCACCTGCCATCGCTTTGTCGATGAATCTTGCTGCCACCCACTTTGACAGCTTCTTGTTCGCGCCCAAAAAGTGCAGTGCGCGCTGTCAAATTTCACTCAATGAGTTTGGATTAACTTTCTGTGTAGTTAGGTTGGATTTTCACGGAACGAAAACAATCGCTGCTTTTCGGTGAAAAATCTGTGGTTAGCCTCGTTCTAAGTGGTAAGTTAGGTTTCCGGGAGCTGAGTTTAATTGACCAAGATAGAAAATCGAGTAATTGCGTTGTGAGTTTTGCTGAAATTTGCTCATTTTCAGTTCGTGTAAATGTCGCTATGAAACGTAGCACTTTGACTGCTGGTTGGTAGATTATTGCACGGCGGGGCACAGCAGGAGGGGATTGAGAGGTTCAATCAACTCTTGGAGATTGGCTGGTGGCGCACGGAAAAGATGAATGGCAGTATCGTGAAGTATTTTAAATCTCCAAAAGCGGAGGAAGGAGAGCAGAAGAAAGATGAAAAAGAACCGAAAGTGGACGAAGGTGGTTCTGCGGAAGAACAGGCAGGGCCCAGTAAGGTAGTAGCACCGTCCAAAAGTGACGTCGATCGGATGATTGCTGAGAATATGGCATCGGTGTTGAAGTCGCTGAAGAAGAAGCGCAGTCACAAGTGCAGGAAGAGACGACGGAATGAGGACCGGAAGGAAGAGAAGGAAGACGAATGCCAACAACATCCGGATGAGGGTGGTGACGAAGATACAGTTGTAGAGCTAGGTGAAGAGAAAGGTGAGTGTCTGGTTTGTTATAGAATTAGATTGGTAGATTTGATGTTTTGGCTTGTAGATCCCCCGAGACGATCACCCCGCAAAACGCAGAAGCAGGAAGTCGACCTGGACGAATCGAAGGTGGAGCCAAAGCAGGAACAGGACAGCAAGAAAATGAATGCTTTTCAGGTGATGATGAGTTCGAGAAACAAAGCTATCGGTTCAAATTCTCCTGGAAAAGATGACAGTGGTGGGGAGGTGCTGAATCCGGAGGAAGAGAAGAAACGAACCGCGAATGTGAAACGGAAGCTCAAACTGGAGGAATGGGCGGAGAAGAAGGGTGCTGGAAAGCGTAGGCTACAGGAAGAGGCTGAAGAAGAATTTATCGCGAATCAAATGAATCGACGTGCCAAGCGATTTAAAAAATTGATTCGTAATATGGAAGTGCCGGAAGATGAAGATGAAGAAGCTGTCGTTCAGCAGAAGGAATCGCCTAGGAGAAGTGCCAGACCGAGGAAGGAGCAGTCTCCCAAAAAGGTTGGTTTAAAGTTGAATGAGAAGCGAGGTCGTCGGAGGTTTTCCTCGCATGATGACGATTCGACGCCGGCGTCGTCGGTCGTAGAAACCGGCGAGAATTCCCCAGCCAGAAAACCCGAGTCGGACGAGTTTGTGTGCAAACTAAATTCTCCGCTGAAGAAGAAGGACAGTCTGCTCGGGTACTTCAATAAGGTCGACAAATCGCCGGAGGAGGCGAAACCGTCGGAAGAGGTAAGAGGCAATAAATCTAGGCAATCGATTAGCAAGTAACTTCAAGAGTCTGTGAGCTTAACGATGTATTTATCTAATATAGACGAATTTTGAACCATTTGCTGCTAGTTTTGACTTGGTAGTATGTAATTCCGCGGGATAGGGTGGTCTGAACTATTGTTTGTGTGCTCGGAGAGTAAACAGTGCTTCGTTTTCCAGACTACACCGAAGTCGAAGCGTGGCCGCCAACGCAAGACTCCAGTGACCAACGACATGGAAGTAGTCGTCGTCGTCGAAGTTCAGGAGGACGCCCAGAATGAGAACGAGAGTCCTCTGAAAACAAGTGGACGGCCTCGAAGGTCTTGCACTGGGAAGGTTAAAGATTATGCCATTTTAAACGGAATCAGTCCGGAGAAGGAATCGTCCGGAACGAGGCGCGGTTGCAGGAAGGTGATCGTGACTCCGTTGAAGATCGTGAATGTGAATTCGTCTTCCGAAGGCATGAAAGTGGTCAAGTCACCTTCGCTGAGAAGCTTGGGTGTTGAGCCAGATGAGACGCCTAAGTCGACCCGGAATGTGAAATTGGCCCCACTGTTTGTGAAGAAGCCCGTCGAAGATCCGGAGAAAATCCGTGCTCGGCAAAAGTTCTTGATGTCTGGAATTCCGGAGAAGATGCGCCTGGAGATTGAAAAGCAGCGAATTTTTGAGGAATCAATTTTGAATGAGTCGCCGGTGTTTCCGCTGATAAGCCACGTTCAACAGCTGGTCTCTCCTGGTAGAAAGTGTGAGCGATCGCCGCTTCGAAAGTGTAAAATCAAAATCAAGCCAGAGTCGCCAGAGAAGCTCAATGATCCGGACAAAGAGGAAGAGTTCGAATTTTCTACCTTGAACAACTGCGACGATTCCGTCGTGGAAGACATCCTGGCTAAACTTATTGGCTACGGTGATTCTGAAGTGACCTATAGCTACAATCTGCCCAAAATAAGCAATGTGAAGGATATCGTTCGGGGGTGGAAGCAGACCTATAAACATTTTCCCGTTTTCAAATGCTATAGGCAATTCAAATCTATGTGCGAGGAACATCTGCAAGAGGAAGACCTTCCTCCGATGCTGCTGAAGGGTCGTATAGCCGTGGAGGACGTACTCCTGGACAATAGTTTGGAATTTGTCGAACAGAAACTGTCGTATCGCAACGGCGAGCTGCTTTTTACGGAGAAGTACAAACCGCTTAATCCGGATCACATACTGGTAAATTGTCAACCGGCAATCGCCTTGAAGAAATTTCTCTCCAGCTGGAAGGAAGACCGCACTGAAAATCCGTATGATTCCGAAGACGAATTCGAGAACTCCAATTCCAGCATGTCGTCTAATTCGACGCACATTCTCAATCACATCGTCTTAGTCGGCCCTTCGGGATGTGGAAAAACCTCCAACGTCTACGCCGTGTCCAATGAGATGAATTTCAACGTCCTGGAACTTAACGCCAGCAGTCGTCGAAAGGGTAAGATCATCCTCCAGGAATTACAGGAAGCCACCCAAAGCCACCAAGTCCGCAGGAAGGACGAAGCCGTAGATGTTTTCAAAAAATCCCGTAAGCCAACCAAGGCCAAGACAGAACCTCGCACGTCGTCCATCGATTCTGAAGGCTCTTCCGGATCAAAGAAGCTCTCGTTGATCCTGATCGAAGACGCTGATATCGTGTTTGAACAGGACGATGGATTCGTTGCAGCTATAAACCAGCTAATCGCCACTTCCAAACGTCCCATTGTACTAACCACGACGGACCGAAATTGTCCGCATCTGACTCGATTTATCTCCAACAATGTGATCCGCTACGTCGCCCCGGGAATTTCCCATATCGCCAAACTCCTTTCCATCATGGCCTTGGTCGAAAACGTCCATTTGGATCAATCGGAGCTGGCTCGACTGTACGCTCTCAATCGGAAGGATCTCCGGAAAACCATCAATGAACTGCAATTCTTTATCCAAAGCGGAGGCGATCGCAGCCTCGGGAGTCAACCGTTGCTTGTGGAAGAACCGGAACTCCGTTTGTGTGAAGAAAAACTTCCTCCGTCGATGCTGGACGATGACGCTTCGCGACAATCGACCGCTTCCTCATGCCACTCGGACGAAACTGCCCCGGCTCGGAAACATGCGTCCCTGTTCCGCCTGTTCAGCCGGAACCAGAACGAGCAGCAACTGATCCGGGCGCCCATCAACTTCGACAATCTGTGGTGCAATATGGAGCGGGTGTTGACGTTGGCTCGTCCTGCCGTGTCGCTCGCTGCTATGCCTATCAAGCGTAAGAAGGGCAGACCGCCAGCGGCTGCGGCGGCGGAGGTGGTTTTGAAAGATCATAAGATCACAGAACTGGAGGAGTTGGTGTTCTTCTACGAGAATGTTTCGACGGCGGTGTTGATCCAGAGGGATTCCCGGACACGCGAGGACAGATTGGTAGACCATCTGGAGGAGGAGATGGCGCATGAATTGGTCGAGAGATGCTGGGAACGTTGGTTCGAGGGGGAGCTGAAACCCGCGCCGAAGGATAAGCGACGCAGCGGTGTGGGAGCCATGTGCTACGACAGTCTGAAGCAGTTTGACGGCGATGATTGGTAAGTTTTGACTTTGTTATTGGATTTTCTTACTCGGATGAAAATTCTCGAATCCAAATATAAAAAAAAAAAATCGCTCCAATGTTGCAAATTGCAAAATACCTATTTGACAGTTTGTCTGTCGCTGAAGGTAAATAAGTTGACTTTACCTGGATTTGAAAGTCCTCTTAACGTACCCTCAAGTCTTTCGGCTTGTCTAAAGAGAATAAGATTCGTTTAGAAGAGACCGCTTCAATTGGTCCGATAATTGTATGAATATCCATTTCTAGAACCGCTCTTAATTTCCTCCCTCATTCCCTAGCCAAACGATCTCCACCTACATTGGCATCAATTCGATACGAACCCGTTCCACGTACTGCGACTACGAACCGTACCTGCGGACGATCTGTCGCTGTGAACGGGAACGATCCCAAGTGGAACGACGAGGCAGCCGGTTCTACCACTACTTCCGCAATTTCGTCAACTGCAATCCAATGGTTAGCACCAATAATGCCGGTAGCAGCAGCAGCAGCATGTCCCAGATAACCAACTTTACTGTTGACCATTTCGATGTTCTGAGCACTCGCTTCGAGGAGGAGCTGATTCCGAGTCAGATCACCCAGGCAGCTTTGGGGGATTCATCCGAAGAGAGTCGCTAGAGAGCCGCGCAATCGTGTTACTTAGGACAAAAGTCAGTTATATCGTTCCGTTCGTTTCCCCTTAAGGACTCACACTAGTGTAGGTAGTAATATTTATTCAAAAAAAAAAAAAAAAAACAAAAATTCTCGACACAAATTCGTCTCAAAATAAGTAATAATCTATATAACCGGTGTTACACGATGTAATAAGCATATCTCTCCCCGTTCGTTGGTGATTAATAAAAGCAAAATTAATCGTAGTACTGATTGACAATGTCCTGCTGTTCGTGTTTGATCTGGTGGTGCTGCGGAATTGGATGCTGCTTCAACAGTCGATCGACGCCGCAGTGCACGGCTCCGCCTACCCCGGCGGGTGAGTAGCCGGAATTGTTGGAATCCCGTCGCTTTCGACTATCGCGGAGCATATTCTGCCGCGAGTGCTTGATGAAGCTCTGGATGGCGGTGAAGATCGGTTTCCGGTTGGCTTCGGCATCTTCGGCGCTCTTGCCGAGGTTCAAGGTTTTCGTCAACAGATCGATAATGCCGACGCTGTTTCCGAACACGTACTTGGTGTATTCTGAGGGGATTGATGGTAATTAGAACGTGGCCCGTTTGTGGAGCACCACAGAGCAGCAAATACTTACGCCCGTTGATGGCCGATTTTCCGCTCCAACTGAACTGGCACAGCACTTCGTAGGTTACGAGGGCTTCCATCATTTTCTTGATGTTTCGTTGGCGGGGTTGCGAGCTGTCCACTTCCTGGTGCAGTCGAATCATCTGCGAGAATGGAGAAGGTTTTCAGTTTGGTTCAGCTCAGTTTCGGAACATACAACCAGGGACAACAACATGCCGAACAATGAGATTCTAATGTTTTGCAAATTACAAAGATAGATATAGTGACCGGGCTGGTAGTGGGTATCTATCTATCTATCTATATATATAAAAATGAATTTCTGTCTGTCTGTCTGTCTGTCTGACCCTTATAGACTCGGAAACTACTGAACCGATTGGCGTGAAAATTTGTATACAGGGGTTTTTGGGGCCGTGGAAGGTTCTTATGATGGTTCGAGACCCCTCCCCCTTCTGTAAGGGGGGGGGGGCTCCCATACAAATGAAACATAAATTTCTGCATAACTCGAGAACTAATCAAACAAATGGAACCAAATTAGGCATGTGGGGGCGAGTGTGGAGGTATAAGGAGATAATCATAGGGGGTAGACCCTTAGATAATAGGGGGGGGGGCTACGTACAATATAGCATGCTTTTTTTTTTAAATCGGCGCATAAACTCAAGCTAATATTGAATCCCGAGCAAGACCGGGCACACTCAGCTAGTCTATATATAAAAATGAATTTCTGTCTGTCTGTCTGTCTGTCTGACCCTTATAGACTTGGAAACTACTGAACCGATCGGCGTGAAAATTTGTATGCAGCGGTTTTTGGGGCAGGGAAAAGTTCTTATGATTGTTTGAGACCCCTCCTCCCTATGTAAAAGGGGGCTCCCATATAAATGAAACATAAATTTCTGCATAACTCGAGAACTAATCAAGCAAATGGAACCAAATTTGGCATGTGGAAGTCATAGGGGTTAGCCGCTTAGATAAGGGGGAGGGGGGCTACGTACAATATAGCATGATTTTTTTTTAAATTGGCGCATAAACTTAAGCTAATATTGAATCCCGACCAAGGCCGGGCACACTCAGCTAGTGTTATATAAAAGTAGTGACTTTAGTGTCATAAAACAGTAAAAAAAAAAGTGCCCAATAGTGTCATTTATTGGTTGGAATGATATCACAGACAAACAGACATAACACATTTTGTTTATTGAAAAATTCAACTGACAATTACTGTCTAAATTAATAAAACTTAAACTAAATAGTTACGGTCAACGGTACGGAAAAGGCCAAGTAGCCGATGACGAAACACGTCAGCTGATACATTGAAGTCGAACATATAAAAAAAGTTGTTGAATTGCCGGCTGATTGCTCGAATTGGCAACTCCGTGGTTCCAAAAACAGAAAGTCGCGTTGACGAAGAGACCTCTCAGGGGCATACATATTCAGCTGTGACAGCAGTGTTGGGCAGTCAATGTCACCTGTAAGCAGCTTTCCAGCGAACATAGCTTGAGCGACCGTCCGTCTCACCTCTAATGGCTCGATTCCCAGGAGAAGGCAACGCTCCTCGTACGGTGGCAAGTTCGTTGGGTCACGCCAGTTGAGGAAACGAAGAGCATATCTCACAAACTTGCGTTGAACGGATTCAATTCTAGTGATCCAGCTAGCATGGAAAGGGCACCAAACAACTGAACTTGACTCCAATAAGGATCGCACAAGCGAGCAGTAAAGTGACCTGAGACATAGCGGGTCACGAAACTCGTAGGCAATTTTGAAAATAAAGCCCGATTGTCGATTAGCTCTGGAGATGATGCCATTGTAGTGGATTCTGAAAGTGAGTCTGCAGTCCAAGGTAATGCCGAGATCCTTTATGTGCTCTACACGAGCAAGATAGCGTCCGTAGAGAACATAGTCAAACATGATTGGTTCGATTTTTCGGTGATAGGAAATAATGTTACATTTTTCTATGCTTAGACTCATCAAATTTCTTGAGCACCAGTCAGCAAAAATACCTAACATATTATGAAGATCCCAGCAGTCCGAGAGGCTTTTAATAATTTTGTAGATTTTAGTATCGTCTGCATAGAAAACGCGGCATCCTGATGGTATCAGCAAGGCGATATCGTTTAAAAAGATCGAAAATAGTAGCGGTCCTAGGTTACTGCCTTGCGGGACTCCCGAGTTGTTTGAGAGAACATCCGATTCGGACGCGCCAATCTTGACATGTACATAGCGATTCACTAAGTAAGATCTGAACCAATCCACAGCAGTTGACGAGATGCCAAGTATCTCCAGCTTGGCCAGCAAGATATTATGGTCCACCGTGTCAAATGCAGCTTTTAGATCCATATACGCAGCATCGACTTGCCATCCTGAATCCATGCATCGCAGACAGTTAGAAGTGAACTGCACCAGGTTCGTGGACAAGGAGCGCTTCGGGTAGAAACCGTGTTGTTCTGTATCGATATAATTTTTGCAGCGTGCGAACAGAGCACCATTTATGATAATCTCGAACAGTTTTGAGCAGGTACACAGGGAGGTGATTCCACGATAATTTATGACATTCAGTTTATCTCCTTTTTTGTGCACTGGGAACAGATAAGAAAGTTTCCAGCGGCAGGGGAACTCACATTGCTGTGCCGAGAGATTGAATAGCCTCGCAAGTGGAAGGCAGAGATTGGCTACACAACGTTTTAGAACTGATGACGGAATGCCGTCAGGTCCGGAGGCGAACGAGAGCTTCAGTTTGCGTGTTGCGGCTATCACCATGTCTTCTGAAATGCGCGGAATAACGAAACTAAACACATCACGTGGCATCCCAACAGCAGCATCCAGCACTTGTGTTGGCGAAGCGGAGAAATCGTTGAACACTTGCTTGAAATGACGAGCAAACAAGTCGCATTTTTCTCTTTCACTATTAGCCGAGTCATTCCCGAGAAACATGGAACAAGGCAACCCGGATTCCTTCCGTTTTGAGTTGACAAACGACCAAAAATTTTTCGGATTCGTGCGAAGGTTCGCTTCCGTGCGTCTCACGTGTCGATTATAGAGAAAACGATTGTAATTTCGATAACTACGACTCGCAAAATTGAACAGTCGTTTGTAGTACGGCGAGCGAGAGTTACAATACTTTCGGAGGGCGGCAGAGCGTTGACGTTTTAGCACGCGTAGGCGTGGGTTAGACCATGCAGGCTTTAGCGGAGGTCGTCGAGCTGGGACAATGCGGAAAATAGCATCTTCCAGTGCAGCACTGAAAAAATCCACTGCATCATTCACGCTAGCGGCAGTTTCGATAAATTGCCAATCAATTTCCGCAAGTGCATTGTTCAATGCAACATAATCGGCCCGGCGAAAGTCCAAAGAGTAGCACTCAGATGACGGCGTAAAAAGAATCGGCGCAGGTAAACTGAATGACACGACAAGAGCGGGATGATCGGCATCTAGATCAATCAGTGGCTCGACCGGCAAGGAAACAGAAGTGCCCGGTAGTGCGGAATCATTTGCCAGGACAAGATCTAGCAAACGTCCATTTCGGTTCGGAAAAGTATTCACTTGTGTGAACCCGTAAAAGTTAAAACCGTCCAAAAGAGCACAGTAAGCAACCGGCATATGCGAAAGCAGTGGATCAATTAATGGTGTGCCACTGTCTGTAAAGCGCCACTGCAGACCAGCTTGATTGTAGTCACCAAATACGAAAGCGGGAGAGCAGGGACTTAATTGTGACGAAATTGACCCTAACGATTCCACATGCTCACGGATGATCGTGCAGTCGTTTTTGCGGTCGGGAGGCAGGTAGATTGCGCCTACACTAAGCTTGCTTTGTGGAAGTTCTACGACAATCCACAGCTGTTCCAGTTGACTGGAAATGGGTGACGTACTTACGTAGCTGGCTAGTCTAGTAGATACTGCAATCAGGACTCCGCCACCGCGCGATTTTTGACTATTTAGGGCAGACCGGTCAGTTCTGAAGACGGAATAGAGTGACCCGAAAAGTTGCGATGAGTAAATTCGGTCGTCCAGCCACGTTTCCGTCAGCACAATCAAATATTTCTCAATGTAAAACATCGTCGCTAAAACATTACCGCCATCTGTTGAGAACACTGTGGTGGGTAGTACGCTCAACAGATGGTGGTAGTGTGAAAACGTCAAACGTAAGGGAATTGACTATGCGCGCCACAGGTGGCGGTACTACCAACTACGATACTTTTAAATTGACCGTTAAATGCTTGTTCGATGAACAACTTGCGAGTGTTATGTCTGTTTGTCTGTGATGATATGGTTATAATCTTTCATTGATTGCGACCCACTTCGAGAAATTTTCTCCCTTTGTACTTATTTTTCTACCAAGATTTTTTGAAAACAATCAAGTTGATTATAAGCTCAGACCGCGAGATTGGTGGGAGGCTATTCATTTACTACGTAGACAGTTTTTTGGGATTCTTGACCCCTCCCCCCTCCCCCTGCATAGACAATTGTCCACATTTTTTTTTTTTTTTATAGGCCGTGGATAATTGCCAACCACCCCATAAACTGTCTACGTAGTTTATGAACAGCCCCTGATTAGAACAAAAAATGTTGATGAGAATTGAAAAATGTTGTTGAATGTTTGACACTTATTTTGTTCGATCTTAGACACATTTTGACAATTTTAACACAATTAATCTAGGATATAGAAACTTCTGTATCGGTTCAAAAAAAAAAGACAAAAAGAATATTATGTCTGGGACCTAGACATTTTACTGGAACGAGGAAAATTTTCCAAAATGGAAAGACCACGGTCAGATAAAATTTTGCATGCGTCTAGGGCTTAAAAAATCAATACTGAAAAAAAATATTAGGATTCTGGGAGCAGTTTTAGAGATTATGGACCGAGATGTCCAAAACAAACCAATTAAGAAAATTTCTTGGTTGTATCATGAAGGAAGAAAATTCATCGCACGAGAAATATCCAATCAAAATTACATTTACGTTTCCTGGCAGTTTTCTGATTATTTAATAGGAACTCCTTGCTTCCTATGAAAGATTCTTCCTTTCGACGATTTTTGGTTTTAGGTCCCATTGAAGTTTATTGAATTTACCTTGATCAAATTTAACCTCGAAGATCAACTTAATTTTGTTTGAAAAGTTACTTGTACTTCATTTCGATGTTTTCACGATGTTCAATGAAATCATAAAAAAATGCGCCTAAATGCAGGCAATGGATAACAACTTTCACGGCCGTTGGATCCGACTCATACACTGAAAAAAGTCTTCCTTTAGTTTACATTAGGAACGCACATATTTTTCCAATAACAAAAATAATGATTTTTATCTGAATATCACATAGCATAAGAAATTCTACATGAGATATAGATTTCATTTGACACATAACGTTCATGTGCTTTAGTGGTGCAATTTACAATTATGGAATCACATGAAAGTTATGTGAAATTCACATGGATATTCTCCACTGGTTATGTGATTTATTTTATGAGTGTACACGGAAAAAAGTTTTCATGTAGTTTCCATTGGGAATGCACAAAATATTTTTCCATTAACAAAACCAATGATATCTATCTGAATTTCATATAACATTCATGAGTTCTATATGATAAATCCCTTAAATTTCATTTGAGACATAAGGTTCATGTGATTTTGTGGTGCAATTCCCAATTATGATATGACATGAAAGTTATTTGAAATTCTAATGAAAGTTTGCCATTGCCAAGATAACAGATGCCAGATTTTTCAAACAATGTCTGGTAGTGCATACATTTGTCTGGTTGTGCCAGATAAATCTGAAACAAAAACTTCAAATATGAGGAAAATCGAGAGAGGTTTCAAACTATTAGTTTACATTGGTCTATTAGTATATTAGTATACTTCATAGACTGAGTAAATATTTCGCCGATTTTCCTCATATTCGAGCAAATTTTTGAAGAACACGTAGGTAAATTTTACTCAGTTCATGAGTGACCTACGTTTCTGCGATGTTAATAATACATAATAATGTTCTTGAGAAACGACCCAGTTCAAAGAACTATCGTACCCAATTCAAATGCAGTGAATTTAAACATTTATTATTAGATACATCTGCAAACGGTCGCAGTGAATAAATCCAATGGATTCCAGTAACTGCAGTAGGTACTCACCATCTGTAGCAGGAACTGCTCGTTGTCTGTACAGTGATCGTTCAAGTCCAGAAAATCGCTGACAGTCCGGATCGGCAGCTCCGGTACTTCGGGGAATGTATCGTTATTACTGCTGTAAATAGTAGTAGTTTGTTGAGCCACGGCTGTGCCGAGATTAGTGGCCGCTGCTGCAACCGCCGCGCCCAAACCTCCAATGAAACTCGCATTATCCAAGTGCTGTACAAGTTGTTGCTGCTGCTGAATTGATGGGCTCGTTTGAACGGTGGCCGTCGTTGCCATCGGCGCTGCTTGGTGATGGGTGGTGATCATCTGGATGGACTGCGACGGTATCGGCGTTGGTGGCTGAGAAACACTGACCACCGTCGGTTGCGGCTGGAGGTTCTGAAGGTTTTCGATCGGAACCGATATTAATGGCATCGGAATCATAGCGCTTGAATTGCTTGCAACATTCGCCTGGGGGTCTACTTCTTCGAATTTGTTAATGAAGATGGCAATAATTTTCGTGAGGCCGTCCAATTTCGTCTCAACTCGGTTAAGGTTCTGATTGACCAGGTGGACTTCCCGTTGAAGCGATTTGATGCGTTCCTCGATAATCTGATACCGCACGTCGTTGTCCGAGTTGGACGAAGACGTCGCTTGGTTAGTGGATGCACCATCTACTGTAAGGGATATGTCCGGTTCCAGTTTCATAACTGCCGTATCATCTTGGAGTTCATAGTTTCGAAAAAATCGCTCACTGTCCCCAGTTGTGTAGTCTTCGTCTTCCGCGGTCCTGCCGGAAGTCGACGGGAAACTCGAATCTTGCGATTGCTCCGCTTCCTGATCCTGCTGTTGAATGCCTCCTGCAAGGTCTCTCGAATGCGTTCTCTGATGCTTAGTCAGGCGGTACTGCTCCCGAAATGCCTTATCACAACTTCCACATTTGTAGGGCTTTTCGTCGTTGTGAACTTTCAAGTGATAAGACAATGTATTGGATCTTGTAAACAATTTGCCGCAGAAATTACACTCGTAGTTCCGTTCGTTATCGTTCTCATCGCTCACCCCGACATCGGGGACGGCTTCTATTCCTCCGGAACCACTCATCAGCGCATTTATCGTCTCTTGCAGCAGCGGATCATCATCCGTTTGCATCATCTGCAGTTTACCGTCATCTTCCACCTGCTGGTTCCGTTGTTCCTGCTCATGGTGACTCGACAAATCCTGCTGGTGCTGCTGTTCCCGCATTACGTCGGAGACACCCTCCATTATGAGCAGTTCGGACGTCGTAGACGAATCACCTATATCGATCGGTTCGTGCTTCACAACAGCTGCCATTGTCCTTGTTGACCACTACTTCGCATGGACATCTTTCTTTCCACGATGAACGAAAATTTTCCCTTCCCGAGGCCAAAGCGAAATGCTACTCACTCGAATGCACAGATGAAGATCCCGTTATCAATTCAATAATTGATTAGACGACTGCTGACTATCCGCGCAATTGATAAGGTTTGCTCTTTTGTTGTGATGTCACAGTTACTAACACGAATAAAGATACGAAATTGTTATTGAAAATCGCGAGCTGCTGACGCGGAATTTGATAAGAGAACTACGAAATTCTAGCCAAACAACAAACACCAGAATCGGGAAACGTCAAAAGTTTTGTTGACAAAAACTTGACAAAAAGATGTGAGCCGATATATACCCAATGCACGGTTGTTTAAAGAAACCCGAGACGGTTGGAAATGTACCCAAATACAATTGGGTTCTGTAATTTTGAAAAATATATCGGTTACTACCGTAAAAAAAAAGAACCATAGAGGTACAAATAATGTATTGTAACCATACAATAGAATTTATTGTATATAAAATGAATCTTACTGTTCACCACGATAAAAAAAAGTAGAAGGGTCTGTGCCTAGGGGCACGAACGGAAGCTTGACGTAGGACCGCTAGAGGACGGAATATATTTGAAAAACAATTAGTTCTTTTAATTGATCAATTATCTATTATCTCAACTCTTTCCGTTTTTGAATTGTAGGCGTACCAAATTTGTAGTATTTTTTTTTCAAAGAGAAAGTTGATTAAGAGAATCAATCAAAATCACTTGCACCCCTGCTTCCAAGTTTGGTTACAAGTTACTCTGAAGAGCATTTTGTGTGGTCGTTGGGGGCTTGTGGTTCTGAATATGGACAAATAAGCACAGATAAATTCTATTCCAACTCTTTACTGATGTAAGCTTGATGGCCCTGAAAAGGGCCGTTTTATTGAAGAGGACATCCATGGCCACTTACATTTGGCGTGTTTAGTGTAGGTGACAGCATCACGGACCTCATTTTCCAGGAACACCTTCAGCACACCTCGTAGATCAGACCGGAGATCCAGACGATCGATGGCGGTTATCTCGAAAAACTTTGCGATGACGCTTGGCGCCTCCTTTACCAGATATTTTCCTCCAGTCAATTGTTGCTTGTTGGGTGTGAAGGAGTGGACTAGCCAGCACCTTCCTACTGCTGCTATTGCTGCTCACCCATTCGTCCGAAGCGAAAATGAGCTAATGCCATACAGCAGCGCTCTTTTATATCTTTTCAGGTTAAAGCAGAATGATGTGCAACCAAGTGGTATTAAAGCTACAAAGACTTCTCATATTATGAGTAGTTTGCTATCAAGTAGCGACACTGGCTCTTTTCCTTTTGCGTACACGGCGAATGAGAACGACCCAAATTTGAGTTTAGTTCACTCATAATCGCCAAAAGTGCAGGAACTCAGTGATGAGTAAATTTGTCTCATGGTTACCTGTGGAAAACCTAAAAAATCTGCTAGAAAATGAGGAAATTGACGAAAATTTGTTCAGTCTCGGAGTAGGACGAATAGATTGAGTGAATCCAATCTTTACTTTTCTCAAATTCGGGAATTTTTCTCTGGAAAATCATGGAAAAACCTGGGAAAACATGAGGCAAATTTACTCATCGCTGAGTTCCTGCACTTTATTTCTAATTTCTGAGGTAACTAAACTCAAATTCTGGTCGATCTCATTCGCCGCGATATCATCTTGAAAGATATCGGCGCCGGTGGTCACCCCAGCAGGCCTGGGTCCAATCTCAGTCAGCGCCACTGGCATGTTCTAAGGCATAACATCTCTGATCACGCCTCCCTTCGGGAAGTAAAGCCGTTGGTTCCCGGTTGAGTTGATGGGTCGATTGGTAGGGTCCAGGTGTGGGACCTGTCTCCTTGGCGTCGGTAGCATTGGAGCTCAGTACGGAGAACAAATCTCGCGTCACTTTTCAATAGGTCCTATCTACATTGATCGATTCTCTTCATCGACACTCTCTTTCGTAAATAACTCGGCTTCACAAATGTTTCCTACCGTCTTCGTCGAATTATATGCTTCTTCCATCGAAAATATCCGGCCGTGGCAGATAAATTCTATTCCTACTTTTTACTGTAATAAGCTTGGTGGCCCTGAAAAGAGCCGTTTTGTTGCCAAAGTTGGTGATGATTTAACCTCCGAAACCAAACAGAGTGCATCTCTGTCACTTCAAAACGTAGATGACATCCATGGCCGCTTACGCTTGGCGTGTTTAGTGTAGGTGACAGCATCACGGATCTCATTTTTCAGGAACACCTTCAGCACATCTCGTAAATCAGACCGGAGATACGTCAGACACCGCCACGGCGAGCCAGACGATGGATGGTGGTTATCTCGAAGAATTTGCGTTTGGCTCTGAATATGGCGATGAGTGTGCAAAATATTACTCAATTCCATCCTCCCTATTCGCACGCGCCCGAAGATCGGAGGCGAATGTCAGTTCGACTTGTTTCGTCTACTTACTACTCTTGCTGGGGAAGCAGCATATGCATGTAGGTAATTGGTGGATTTGTTAGTTAATTCGACGCTTTTGGAGAATGCTGGACATTTACCAGTTTTTCAATTGTTTCTTGTTGAAAATCAACATTCAAGCATAGGTTTTCGATGCGTAGCCATATTTCTGATCGATTGGTGATAAAATTATTGAAATTGGACCAGGGGCAGCTGAGTTATTAACGTTCAAAATCTTTCTTAATTTGTTACATGTTCCATTGTCGGTTTTCACAAAGTGTACCCCCATATAGAAATCAAAGACGTAGTCCTACGTCAAAAACCATATAATTTATTGATTCCACAATGGAAAATGGAAAACGTACAATAGAACAAGGGGGATGTTATGTATCTTAACCGTATGAAAATCACTTTTTCCCGAACAAACTTGAGCCATTTAACAATTAATTTTATTGTTTTTCTATTGTTGAAAATTCATATTATATGGAACGTATTGTAGATCTATTGTCGAGTCTATTGTAATAACAATATTTTTAATTTACCTGTATGCGAGCTTGTATGGCAATTGGTAATAGATTTTGCCATAGGATGGCACCTTTTGGAAGCACCCCGAGCGAAGTTGAACAGAACACGATTTGAAAAAGTCCGAATTAGCACAGTAGATGACGTTGTTTGGCAAACAATTCTTAGTTCTTCGAGTCTTAACGTGCCTCCAGAATATCGATGGGTTTTGCTTCAGATTTGATTCCAGTCTGTGCAGGTACAGTTGGTAGCTTGAAGTAAGTTGCTCGTTGTAGGCCAATTCTATGATGCGAAGCGAGTCTCTGTTCTCGTTAGATTTGTCAACGAAAAACCGATTGCGTGCTTTCTTCAGTTTTTTTGCGCAGAGCACGCAGCTCAGCCGTCCACCAAGGTTTCCTGTAAACAATGCTTGAGGCGCGAAGACGGCGAGGAAGATTCGCTTGAAGTATTTCGTTAATTTTGTCATAGATCAGGAAAACATTTGCATCAACAGAGTGTATGGACTCTACCTCAAATGGACCAATAAAATCAACGAGGTCAACAATACTATTTGTAAGTTCAGGCGCTTCCGCGGAGTGATCTCCAGACAGATCCGTAATAAGCTTGTCCAAGCTGTGCTGATGCCGTTCTTCTCTTAAGGCCCACGCACATTAGATCCGCATCGGACGCGTTGCGGCAAAGTGACAGCTAAATCTATTGTCTTACTGTCAAATTTACGTCAACGCAACGCAAACGGATCTAATGTGGGTGGCCTTTTACTGTGATGTCGTGTTCTACCCGCGGGGGGACTGTCAACCGTGCATAAAGCGCAACCAACCGTGCTGAGCACTCGTGTTTATTTCAGTTACTGGGGCGTAACTTGTGTTTAGTTCCGGTCCCTTTCAAATTGTATCATTATTTATGCACGGTCCTTATATTTGAAATGACGTTTCACACTCACACGCTAACTTGAAAGTACCCATTAATGGTTGAAAAAGACCCATTTTGAAGAAAAGTGGCTTAACTCATTAAATGAGTAAATTTTTTACCCATTAATGAGTATCTGTTACCCATTAATGATTAACAATTACTCATTAATGGGTAACAGATACTCATTAATGGGTAAAATTGTTTAATAATTAATGAGTTAAGCCACTTTTCTTCAAAATGGGTCTTTTTTTACTCATTAATGAGTACTTTCAAGTTAGCGTGCATATAGTGATGGCCGATTTTCATTAGAATAATCGATTAACGGACCGAAAAATAAAATGTTTGTAATCGGTTATATCATGCCGATATAAGCATTAACTTCTCCAGAGCATAATCACCCATCGTTTCAAACATAGACTATACTCTCATTGGTGAAAAAATGACAGTACAGCGAACAAAAAATAATCGATTAATAGTTAATCGAGTAGTTAAAAAATGGGACATCTCTCATTTTGGTGTGATTGTAAAAAAGAGCACAAAATTTCATTTCTACCGAGGGGGCAGCAAAACCACAAAATTACCTTGCATATGGGGGGTATTTATTGAATGAAAGGGACCAGCCCAGTGGCAGGCGCGTATGCAACATGCTATGCCGTGACAGCGGGCCCAGCACAGCAAAATAAACGATTTGAGGTGGGACATGCTGCCTACTGTCAAACGCTGCTGTTGGTACAGGCCTTCCCTAATAAAAAATAACCATAAACGAACGATAACCCAAATCATTGAACTATTCCACAAATGGTTTGGATGATACCCAGAACACGTCGTTAAGCAAATTAACCATACAATTTTTATTAGGGTTGTCAGTGGCCTAAAAGGGACCGTGAAGTAGCTAATAACAAAACCTACAAAAGCTCTATACACGCACAGACAAAATACACGGTTAGAAACTCGGTTAGAAAAAAGTACCCAACGGCCAGTTCACTTTTACCTACTTTTGACTAGTTTGTCTCCTTTTCTCCTTCTAATGTTGTCAAAACCGGAGGAGCAAAACCACCCAACAGGGGTAGTAAAGTGTGGGAACCCACACAGCAAAAAAAAATGTAAAATCGATCAACGTAATTCAAGCTGATGTATGAAATAATGATGTAATAGCA